TTTTTTTTAAAAAAAAATTGACGGGCTGGGCCGGGTTGGCCTGGTCCGACCCGTCTGACAGCAAATCTGACAGACTGGATTCAACAATAGCCGTTGGGTCCCGGGCCAGGCCCAACGGTCTGAATTTAAAAAAAAAATTAAATAAATCTGGCCGTTGGATCATATAGCCGTTGAGATTCAATGACCCTCCCATGCCCTGCCTGCAGCCGACCCGCCGGTACCGCCCGACTCGGCGGGTCCCGAATTAGAAAAAAAAAACCGAAAAATCGGTTTTAATTAAAAAAAACCTACAAATACCCCCCTCCCCATCATTTTTCCACACCAAAAATCTCTCATCCCTCTCTAATCTCTCCTCTCTTCTCTCTTTCTCTCATTATCTCTCTCATTTTTTATTTTCCTAAAAGCTCAGTTTATATATTTTACATAAAAAATATATATATAAATAAAAAAATCTTTTATTTTATATTTTATATTCTATATTAAATTTTTATTTTATATTTTATTTTTTTATTCTAATTATTTTTTATACACATCTTTTCATCATATTCTACATTTTTTATTTTATATTAAAAAGTGTCAACTTCTCGTGGTGGTGGTCGTGGTTCGACTTCCAGAAATAACAACTTCCTGTCAGCCTTCAGATCTTTCTTTTATCTCCGCACTCTCTCCTATAACTTCCTCTTTCCTAATCACTCCTCATATATATACTAATATTATTATCCCCCTGTATATTAATCCAGAACGCGCTGAGCCTACGTGGCTGCTTCTGGTGCTTCGGAATCCTATGTGGCAAAATTACATGCTTCGTTATTAGGCTTGGGTAAATTTTAATATAATTCCAAACCAAAAATAATTAGGTTCGGATTACCATAAATATGTTGATTATTTATGGTCATGTTACATATATTAATTGTATTTAATATCATTCCTTATTTTACTTATTGAATTGTATATATAATGAAAAGTTAATAACTTTTGTATTTTTTATCAGTTTTACGTATGTAATATATCAAATTAATCTTCTTTTGATAAGTTTCGATTTGACATCCATATTGTATGTATAAAAAAAATAATTTATATCTATCTTTATGACAATAATAAAATCATTTTTAATATTAATTAGAAAAATAAAATTATTTATCAACTAATACTACCTCATATTTTTAATATATGTCGTTTTGGGAAGTTGCACATCAATTAAGAATATTTTTTTGGTCAATAATAACCTTATTCAATGAAGATAAAAATGAATGTTTTGACAAAAGGTGAAGAGTGAACATGAAAAGACATAATGTATTTATTAGCTATATGAGAGTAATAATGGAAAAATATGTACAAAAGTTCCAAAACGATATTTATTTTGTTAATAGTTGATAAAGCCAAAATGATATTTAAAAAAATAAGAGGGAGTATATTTATATTTCAAGTAGTTATATGATATAAGTTATAAAAACTATATAACACATGTAAGTCATAAGTAACACATATCATTCTAAAATATAGTAATATATTTTTTTTGTAAAAAAGTAAACTAAATTTAATATAGTTTTCTCATTAATTTTAAAATTTAAAAATATTTTTTTAACAAACACCCGTGTAATACACGGGTGTTGTACTAGTTTTACCTTTATTAGAAAACAAAAAAAAATTACACACTTCTCTCTCCCCAAAATCTCTCTCATCAGCAGCGAGGTTGGTGCGGCATTCAAAATCGGCCAAAAATTAAACCCTATATGCAAGGTTGATTCGAGCGTGGAGATCTCATTCAAGAAGTCGAGTTTGTCGGCTTTGGAGATGCTCAAGAGCTCCGCTGCTAGTCGTGAGTTTTGCTTGTTTTTTCTTTCGATTAATTCATTTTTCAAGGTGTATTATGAATTTAAGAACATGGGTTTTGGCTTAATTTTCGGACAAAACATTTTTTTGGATTCATTTTTTGTCCAAGGATTTGATTATTTGATTTTTCTAGAAGTTGGAGAATAATGGTTGTGAAAATTCAATTTTATAGCGCGTCATTTTATTTTGATTAAATTGCAAGGTAGTTCACAATTGTGATGACTAGTTCAAATATTCAGAGGTGATTACTTGGTTCAGATTGTGCTGGGCAAATGAATAAATAAGATTTTCTTTTTGTTTTTCAGAAAGATGGTTCTATTGCTCTATTGTTAAAGTCGAGTCGAGTTGGAGCTGTCTGAAGGGGGAAAATGTGGACTCACTTTGCTTTGGGTACGACAAAATCCACATACATATCTCCCTCATTCTCCATCAACGGCAGTGCAGAAATAGTCGGGTACGTCATGACCCGGGAGCTCAATCCCGACAAATTCTTACGGTTTGGCGTCGACGACGGCACCGACTGCACCCACTGCATACTCTGGCTCAAACAATTCACGTCCTCTTACTTCTCCAAGCGTAAGCGTAGTCCTCCAGGTGTTCGATCGATTGCCCGAACGGCCTTAAAATTTACCGCCCAAGTTCAGAGAGGTGTTGTCGCCAGGGTACTAGGTAGGATCACCGGATTTTGGGGTATGGTTCATATCACGATTTCTGATGTGGTTGTCGAGGTGGACCCCAATGCCCAGGTTCTGCACTGGCTCGACTGTGTTAGGCTTGCCCGAAAATGTTACGGTAAGTGATTTAACTTCAAGGAGATGTCCTAAATAGTAACCTTAAACATGAGAACATAAACATAGGCTAACAATTGACTTCAGTGGAAAGGAGATGCAACCATTTTATGATCCATTACAAGGCAGTTCTGCCGAGCAAAATGATTAACTAATAACTAACTGACCTCGATGATTTATCTCTGAAATTTGATACTTATCCCAAGTACCCAGAGTTGTACACAATTTATTTGAACATGATTGAAAGAAGATTCAAGTAATTGCGGAAGCAGTATAAATAAAAATTGAACATTCAGGAGAGCGTCCCACTTTCCCTTTGGATCTCTTTCATTAATGCAAACATCACATACATTCTTCAAGCGTTTACAGTATAGACTCCCTCTACACTCTATATGAACAATGATCTGCACTACTACTTATCCAACCACAAATCCCTTGTGATTTTTCTCGTTTTAATCCCTCAAACTAAAACAGAATGAACCTCCGTTCACTCTGTATTTTCTCTCACAACAGACTCCTCACTTTCAACCACTTCACTCAAAAATAAAATAAAGATACCAATCACTCAAAATCAACAAGGACGAAAAAATCAGATTTCCTCAAACAAAACAATGATAAAAAAGTCATCCTCACTATGCGTCACGTCATCCTTTTATCTTTGGTCTTCGTATGGTAAGTCTCACACAAAGCTTTACCTCCAAGTCACGTTCACTTATGGTAGGACTTCTTTCGGAGTCAAAGTCTGCAATTATCATCTCGCACATATGGAAGGTGAATCCCATCTTCCTTCCATTTAGACCTGCCATAATAACTGCATATTATTAAAAACTGACTCAATTAAAAATAGGTCCAAGTAATCAAGTCAACGTCCCTTAAATATTCTTGAGTTGTCTGAACCTGGGAACTGATGAAGGTTCGTCGATTTACTGCCAATCTTCAGAACTTACAATCTCCCCATTTGGCTGATAAATCGAAAAAACATTCTTTGAACCTCCATGAAAAAAGACATTTCCTGCAACATATACACTAACTCAAGGTATACTTATCACATCATAAATAAGTTGTTCATATGAACAACTTAACCACCTAAATATTTCAAAACATGAAAAACACAGTTCACAGGTTAAGTTCACAAAAAGCAAGGCAAAAAATAAAAAAGAGTTCAGTCAACCAACAGACATATCACATAGATTTTAGTTTAACAAAGCATAATCAAATGTCCAACTGAAGGATCTAGGCAGACCCTTCATCTTCCCCAGTCTCCTCAGCAAAACCTTCTTCAGATTCAGCTTTAGTGTCTTCCTCTGAAGCAGCATCTGAGTCTTCCTCATCTTCATCTGCATCTGAACCTTCTTCGGACTTAAGAGCCTTCTCCATCTCTTTGGCAGCAACAACTTTTTTCCTTTCCCTTGGTCGTGGTAGCAACAAGCTTTGACTTCTCCCCCTTACTTCCAGCAGACACCTTCTTCTTTTCGCTCTTACCACCAGCCGCTCTCTTGATCTCCCCCTTTTTCGATTTAGATACCAAAGGAGCCCGTGACTTCATTGCACCCAGAACCTCCTTATAATACCTATGTTTGTCTGCAAGCCTCTTCTTAAATCCAGAAAGAACTACGATCTATTGGGTAAGGAACCCGCGTAGCTGTGAAGGAACTTCAGAAGCTTTCACCAAGGATGGGCGAGAAGGAGTAGACTTTACCCCACTAAGAGCAAAAGGTTTTAGAGCAGGAGACAAGCCATCGCCCACATGAAGGTCCATTTTAACTCCTGCCTTGAGTAAAATGGCATAGATAGTAGATGGGAAAAGCAGCAACTTTTGTGGTTTTCAGATTTCAGCAAAAGAGACCACGGTGTCAAAGATAACATATCCAAGGTCAAACGGGACACCGCTAAGGACACGAAAAATGACCCGTGCCTGGGTAGGAGTAACAAACTGCTTATGCGAAGTGGGTATCCAATTTGATGCACCGATTTTCTGTAATGCGTTCGCTAGAGGACTGAGACTTTTCACAAAGAGCCCAGATGCAAGCCACTTGCTCAGTTTTCCACTAGTCAATGTGTTTGCAAGTTCATCAAGATCATCGGTCAGAAGGGATAAAGATGAACCTTCAGCCAACCCTATCACAAAGTTTATAACAGACGACGAGAACACAACTATGTCATTTCTCACAAACACCCTTTGAAACTTCATGGAGGTAGGATCAGAAATAGAGACATACAAGTTTGCATAAAACTCACCAACTAGTTGAGGACAAAACTTTCCGACATTCATAACAGAATTTTCAAGGCCAACCTTTTTTAAGAGTTCAATCAGATCAAGCTTTTCAAAATGCTCACCAACAATCGTTCTTTCAGGTCGAAATTTCATTTGAGAAAAGATATCGGTAAATCGAGATTCAGACACAGGAGAATAAAATTGGCGAGAAAAAGCATTACCAACTGCAAGGGGGCTATCAGTACCATCACCTTCGATATTGCCAATAGTTTTCTCTTCCACAACAGGGGAAGGTTCCTTGTCAGCAACAACGTGGTTGTCAGATTTTTCCTGGTTCACCAACGTACTTTGTAATTTCTTTTTCTGCAGAATCACCATCAACAACAAAATCAGGTGATGACTCCCCACCAGACTTTGAAGCAGAATCCACAGCAGTAGTAGGTTCAGGTAAGGTGATGATCTTTTATGCCTTTTTCGGCTTTTCTGCAGACACCACTAGGAGCTTCTTTCGGCTTTTCGGAGACTTAGCGGCGGAGGGAGATCATTTTTCACCTTCTTCACTGTCACTCGCAACATCGGGGTGAACCACCTTTGCTGTGAAGGACTTCTTGGGGCTTGGAGAAACCCTAGTTTCGACCTTCTGAGAAGGTTGCATGTTTTCAGCCGCCATGTCGGAAGGTGCATTAAGAGTTGTCTCTCTATTTCCACTTTGCCTAGTAGACCTGCGAGAGGGTTTTGGAACATCCTTTTTCGACTTCATGGTTGTTTGCTCAGATTTCGGCATGATTTTAGGAGTAGATTTTTCAGAGAAAGGAAGGTTAGAAAATTTTAGGGTTAGATGAAGAATTATCAAAAGATAGATATGAGAGAGAGATGACAAGATTGATAACTATAGGGAAGGGAGTTCGGTCATCGAGACATGCAACAGATATGAGAGGACGGTTCGGCTTTTAAATTTGAAATTCACACTTGTGAAACAATTTAATGTAAGAAAGGAAAACCGTTCTCTCCAAAATTAAAGTTTTTTTTTTCCAAAAAGATAGATTTGCATTCAACATCAGAATAAGGTTTGTACAATAATCCGGGAGACTAAATAGCCCCTCAATACATCAAGAGAACCCCCTATCAAGAAGGCCTAAATAAACAAACACATACTAGTAGCACATCTAAGAGCAATATTCAACTGAACCTCTCAGACATGAATCAATCAAATTAGACCAATACATAATTATCCCAACACTAATGCACACAAGATCTACTAATTAAGCTATACTACTGAACTCCAAAGAGACCTAGCACCCATACTTAGCAGATTACCTGTGCCTTTTTGCCACCACTGATTGGTATTCCTGCCAATCTCTACAAGCCATTTTCACCACCTCTTGCTCAGACATTCTACCTGCTGGAATTTCCACAAGTTGCGTGACTTCCATAGCCACCACAAGATATGAGTACCCAGCTGAATCCTCTCTTTAGATGTGATTTTCCTGTCTAAGCTACAAATCCCCTACCACCATCTCCTGAAATCTGAAGTTTCAGCCATCAATTCCTCCTAGTTAACAGATGCTAGCTTCCAAACAAGGGAGGCTCTTCTATATTTCAACAGGTTATGTTCAATTGTTTCCACCTCATCTCCACAAGACTGACAGATTGGGTCAATATGCATCCCCCTTTCCACTAACTTCCCACTAACTGGCAGAACTCCTGTAAAACACTTCCAAATGAAGTGCTTTAGTTTACCTTTAATGTGCATCCCCCAGCTTCTTTTCCTAGCTTTATTGGCTTGAAGTCATGCTCTGTTATTTTCTGCCATTTCCATCTCTCTCAGCTTCCTCATCATCAGGTAAGAATATGTAGATGCTACTGAAAAAGTCCCCATTTCATCAAAAGTCCAACACCATTTATCTTCAAGATCAGGGTTAAGGGACCTGGTTTCCAATATCTGCTCAATCTCCTCAGAAGAAAAACATTGGTTGAGAAGCTCCTCATTCCAGCTCCTGCCTCCTTGGGTTACGATGTCCTCAACTCTCTCCACATTGCAAACGCCATTAGTTTTTCTCTGTGGGATTCCAGTTTCAGTGCCTGGAATCCATGGTGTTTCCCAGATCTTGGATGTTCTTCCACTTATGATCTCCATCTTGAATCCCCACTTGTGCTTCTCCTTACGCTCCACCAAGTTTGATCGAAGTAGGTGTTTAGGTAATCCGTTAGAAGGCCTTTTCGTACAATATACTTGAGCCTTTTAATTACATATTTTTCGGTCATTTTCCTCCTCCACACGCCGCCGTCCACCGTCGCGAGAAGACACCGGAAATCGCTAACCACCGTCGGACACTGCCCGAAGCCCAGCCGACTGCGACCGCACGCTACCGCAAGCAGTCGCGCACCGCCACGCCTCGTCAACGACACCCGCGAGCTCCCAACAATGCCCCACGCCATTGCCTGTCTGCTCGCCAGTCGCGCCTAGCGCCCCAGTCGCGCTCTATGCTCGTGTTCGCTGCCAGTCACCACCCGCGCACGTTCCCAGCGCGCATCCTCCACGCGCGCGACACTCCTTGTGCGCCCAGGATACTTGCTGCTCACGCACGCGTGCGTCCACCTGCCAGCGCCACTCCGCCCAGGCGTAGGACTACCCGCGCGCGTACATTGCCAACACCCAGCGATCCGTGCACCTGCTCCGCTCACACGCCCGCTGCCAGCATCTGCACGTGACCCGCGACCGAGCTGCCCGCTGCACTCTGACCCCGAGACCGAGCCACCATGCGACCGAGCTTCGTTTGACGTGTCGATTAAAATC